TGATTGCAGCTATATACGATGTTGTTTCTTTTTAAATTGAATCACTGTTTGTTTGTCTATTATTACATGCTCAAACTGATGATGTTGGAATGGAAAGAATACCCTTTCTTCTCTGGTGCTAACGTTCATAAACAGTTCTTATTCTCTCAGGAATTGTTTTTCCGACAGATAAATTTAAGAAATAAATAAATGATAATGAACCACTACACAAACAGCTATATTGCGCAACTACAGAAAAAATTGGAGTCGACAAGCAAATCCGTAGAACAGTTAACAGCTATAGTTGTGAGAATTAGATTCCTGAGCTATGGGTTAAGAACAACGGCTGGGTCTACGTTCCGGATAAAATAGTCTCCGCGGGTTAGATGAACAACACCTATAATGTGCCGTGTGCAATTCGAAAAAGTCACAAAATGATCCGATGTCTATGATAAGTCGATAAGGACTAATATTATCGGGGTTACAAGGTAAGAACAACATCTATAATATGCCGTGTGCAATTCAAAAAAATCACAAAATGATCTGATGTCTAAGTCGATAAGGTCTATATATTATAACCTTGGTTTATATTTACTCACTTATGAGTACCTTAGACTCATGAGCAAGAGTCAATTATTAGGTGAGCTCAGTATTTGCTCATATTGAAGAGCTGCTCATCAGCGTGAGTCTTCAATTTGCTCATATTGAAGCACTGCTCATTAGATCTCACGAGCCGAAAGCTCAGCTAAAAAGCTAGGTTACTGGCAATAGTTTTTTATTAGATTTAAGGCATATAAAATTTATTACACTTGTTTTTCGCATTCTAAGCAAATCGTTTTATTACATTTGTGTAAAACTTTGAAATACTTATTTTTTTATTTCCAAATTTTTCGAAACACAATATAATATAATTTAAAACTTAATATAATTTAAAAAATATAAAACAATTAAGTAAACGCGCAAAATTCAAATAAATAGTGGCACAACAATGGTATATATTTTTCTTTTTCTACCATGCAGCACTTTCTTGTAAGCAGCGCATGAGGTCTCATGAGGCGTGAGCCAATTCATAACTTAATGGCGACTTTTGCTCATGAACGTGAGCTCTGCACTTGGGCTCGCTCGTGAGCGTAAACAATCGTATGAAGAGTTTCTTGCCTACTCATGAGCTGTGAGTATAATGAGCAAAAAAGAGCCGCTCATGGGTACGCAAATACGAACTCTGATTGTAACACACACCAAAAAACTGTTAAGTGTCAATAAGTAATTATGTCCGCAACGTCACTGTCTTGCAGTCACTCTTCTTTACAGACACACAAGTACCACTCACACCAATGTTATACTTATATAAAAATCACTTGCTTTATGTTAAGTTTATAATTTTAAAGATATTTATTTGGTAGTTATTCAACAAATATATATGTGTAAATAGATAGATAGATATATAATTTAATTAGGCACTCTACCTAATTTTTAATAAAATTAAAAAGTAACACATTCTACATAAAGCGATTAAGTTTACAAAATGACTTAAATATAATTAGAATTAATTCACACATATCCAGGGACCGTAACAGTTAACATTTAAAAAAAAATCACCTTATCATTCGCATTTTAAAATAAAATTTAAAAAATAATTAAATTTGTTTTATATTATATTCATCAAAAATAATTATTATCATGTGCCTTTTATTTTAAAACACACAAATAACTGTTATTTTGGTTTAAATATATAAAAATCACAAAGTCTTATTTTTGAAAACAAAATATAACTGACATTTTCATATAAGGTACCATATACCGTAGTATATATGAAAAATGCGTTTTATATTTTCGTTTTTAAAATTATTCAGGAGGCCAGTGTGAGTTATATTTGGTTTTTAAAAATAAGACTAATTTCTGATTTTTATATTTATAATGCAAAAATAAGAGTTATTGTGCGTTCTAAAATAAAAGGCAAATGATAATAATTATTTTTGATGAATATAATATAAAGCAAATTTAATTATTATTTTTTGAGTTTTATTTTAAAACACTCACATATATAACAAGCATGCATATTAAAAATGAAATGATATAGTTATAATAACTATATACTTAAATATAAGTTTAAACAACTTTATGTTGCGGTTTTTTTCTTCAACATTTTTGAAATGACTGTTATTTTCGGTCCCTGCACAAATCTAATTATTTTATTGGCGTTGTTGTTTAATTGTTATCTTTTTCAGTATCATTATTGTTATTCTCATTAGCATCTAAATCGTTTTGTTCCGGCGGTGCAGGCTTTTGGTTCTTTTTACGTTTCTCCGGATGACCGAAACAATTTTCACAATCGTCATCACTTTCTGATGAACTCTCACCAAATTCGTGTTGTTTTCGAAAGATACAGCAACCTTAAATATATTTAATTTAATTAAAGTAAAATTTAAATAATGTCAAATGTACTTTTTAAAATCTTACACTTTGATTTTTTTTTGTTTGCGTGTTCATTGTCGACCGTGTCCTCACGCCAAGCAACAGAACGTTTTGATTTTGGCTTCTTTAGACGCAATCTCAATACTGGCGGTTGTGCCTATCGATTGCAATAAATTGTAAAATATTGTATTACTTTATATAACATAAGCTATAAATTACCTGTACTTCCTCTTCTCCAACTAATTGCGTCTGAGAAGAGACTACGTTGTCCACACGATCAACGTTTGCCATTGATGTTAATGTATTTTTTTTATAATTTAGTTTTTTATTAAATATTTTTAAAAATACATAACCGATTTTTTATACTTGTGTTAAAAATTTAAAATTTTGTAAACAAAAACATTACTACATATTTTATAATCATTTGATTGCACATATTTTGGTTATCAAAATGTCAACAAAAAAAAAAAACAAACAGAAATCGCATAAAATTGCTAGATAATGCGTTCGAAAATTATAAAATGTGTGTAAAATGTTTTTTAAGCCGTGTGTGAGTTCAAGCATATTGAGGTAAAGTAAATTGAAATTTCCTAGAGATTTTGTGCATTACACTTATGTAAATATTTATTTAATTATTTTTTGCACTTATTTATTATTTTTCGTTAAAAGTTTTCACATTTTTTTATTAAACAACCTATAAACTTTTCACAATGATAACACCTAATTTTAATCTAATTTACACTACTCAAAATTCTTGTAAATACCAACATTCACTGCCATACCGACATATTTCACTATTTCCCTCAATTTACCATCAATTTTCTCGAACACGCACACGGCCATGCACGTTCATAAATGTGAACAAAAGCAACAGCTGCAAATCAGCTGTTTTGGTTTCAATTTAAATTTTCGAATTGTTCACTTGAGCGGCATTGATAATATTAAAAAAAAAGTTTAACTCTTAATTTTTTTAAGTTTTAATTGTAATAAATAAATCAATATTGAAATGCGTCAAAAAAACATAAATACAACATACACAATCAGATTATAAGGTAATTAATATACTTCGAGGTAGTGAAAAAAGAAAAGTTAGATAAAAATTAGGTATTACCATTGCGAAACTTTTATAAGACGTTTAATAAATAAATAAATAAATTTGAAAACTTTTAACGGTAAATAATAAATAAGTGCAATAAATAAATATTTCCATAAGTGCAGTGCAAAAAATCCCTAAAGAATTTCAATTTACTTTACCTCAATATACTCGAATTCGCACACGGCCTAAATAAAAAATATATAAATATATATTTTGGGTTAGAAATTATTAAGTGATTACACTCAATATATATAT